AAGATGGAGGGGAGAAGGGAGGAGAGGAGGGGGAGCTTTTTGCGGTTTGTTAAGTAAATACACAGAGTCAATAAATAGTATCACAAAGCTAAATAGGATTGCATCTGAGTCTGTATCTTAAATCAAACCCCAAATATTCCACATCAACTGCTCATGTGGCTCAAGAGCCAAAACAAACTGTACAGATGTAGTTTTGCCTCTGGCTTATAGATGGCAGTGGTGAGCCACTGTGGACCTGATGGGTTCGGCCTTTCAGTGAGGGCTGTTCTCGGGTTGGAAACAGTGTAACCAAGTCAGATTTAAGGATTTAGATGTACTTTGATGGGCTTATCCAACTACTACTAAAGAAACCTTTTATTTATTTATGTGTTTCTGATCCATTCAGTCTAAAAAGAGAAATCACTCTGAAAATAGTCAGAAACTGACCAGATTCTGATCCGTGTAAGGTTTGTCGATAATTGATAAGTAAATTCATAGAACAGGAATTAGCTGTCGATTTAATAAATGATGGATGGGCGTATAAATTAAGATATAATGTTCAGTATTTCAAATTCCTCAATGTTTTTTTTGTTTTTTTGTTGTTGTTCAGTTTTTAATCATACTGCAACCTACAGGGCTAATAAATTTATATGAATATTAATAAATAAAAAACTCTACAATCAGAGGATCAATCAAATAAACTATTCCAAAAGGTGATTTTTGTGATATCATGCTTGATCTTACAAAAAAAACTCTAACTTAATGTTTTACAGTTTTTCCAACCTGCTTCGAGATTTCTTCTTACACAAAATAAACAAATTTGTTATTGATTGTTTTTCTACTTTTTACCTACTTATTCATGAACGAAATGTTTAACTGATAGGTCTTATATAGGTATGCATCATTTAAAGCAATAATTGTTACAGCACTACATGTAGAAGCATTAGCAGATTGGAGTTGAGGAAGCATATGAAGTAATTAGATTTAGCTGTTATAGAAACAACAACTCCGGCTAAAGATTACTTTTCCCAAACTAAAACTGCAATAAAAACACTTCAGCTGCAGATCAGTAACTTCAGAAAATTCTGTTTGTAATTTTCATTTGTTTTTTTCTGTTTCTGTTGTCAAGAAATGAAAAAAATCTCAAGTGCTGACGGAGACGAGATTTAAGAAATGCTGAAACCCACCATTTCTCTCTGAAACTTTATTCCCCCCTCTATCTGTAGATAATTTTACTTTTAACTTTTAGATGAATGATTGGCAGTAGCCTCTGGCATGCTTGTTGTTACTAGACTTACAACGAAAAAAACACAAAGCAAGGATAATTTGTTTAATTAGTTTGCTGAGGTTATTATGGAAAGAGGGAAGAAGAGTGTAACCAGGGATTACGCTAAATATTTATTAAACTCATAAATCTTCCCCTGGCTGTTGCTATGACCCAGAGGGAGACGTTTGGCAATAATAATCAGCTTCATAGTTTTGTACTGGATGTAAAGTAACGATTTATCCAAACCTGTTTGTGTGTTTTGAGTTTTCAACGTTTAATCCCAAGTTGTTTTCTTATTGCTGCATGAAAGTTTTTTTGTTTTGTTTCCCCATATAATTAGGCTAAATCTAGGTCTTAAAGTCTTTCAGAAAATCATCAAACCCGTAAATATTTTAAAGAACCTTGTATTTGCTCGTGAAGAGGATCCACCAGTGGGATATTTTGTACTGAAGGAGGGATCTAAATCTTTACCTCAGTATTCATGGTTTGCACATATAATTATTGATGAATGTAGTTCATTTTAACCGGGATTATTATTATTGTATGACAATATTTAGCTAGAATTCGATTCTTAATTTACAAAACATATTTTTGTCAATTTAGCCATAGCGTAAATCACTTCTAGATATTTATCGATCTCTTGTGCAAATTATATTTTGATGACATAAAAGAGACCCAGAGTGTAACATATGATATTCATCTTTAGAGGTTTGATGTTTTTCAAGTGTCTCCTTCTCTAGTGAAACAAGCTAAAATAAGTCTAAAATAATATCAATAAAAAAAAACATTTATTAACCAGGTATATATTTACAAAGAATGTGACAGATTTTTTTGCCCAGGTTATTAAAAAACAGCAACATCTAAGTGGGAAGAATGCATTTTACACAGTCTAGAGATGAAGAGGTCATTGAAAATACGTCATGTAGTCCTGGTATTCAGCGTGCACAGCACTGTGTACGGTATGCGCAGCATGTAAGGACTCCATAGGTGAGTGTTCAAGCTATGAGCTGACAACTTCTGACTGGATTGCTCCTCTAAAAGCTAAGCTGAAACGCTGTTTTGATCCGTGACAACTAGCAGGAGTTTTAAATCTAAGAGTTTATTTAATCAGATTTATGCTTTAGCTCAAATGTAGAAGACCCAGTACACACAATTACTGTCACATACAGTTTGGATAGTTCACGGTGTACATACAGGCTACGTATATATGGGTTTTAAAAGTTTTTAGATTTGATTTGATTGCCGAGTCATACGGCAAAGCAGCCTAGATAACCAAAAAGCCTTGAGTCAGGTTTACACAAAGAGCACAATAACACTCAGCTTAGTTGACACTGAGCTTATATTGAGTGTACAAAAGGATTTCAGTGAGAGACTCACCACCTCCGTACATGCATACAAACAAAGGCTTTGGGATAACACAGATTTGATAAAAGTGATGCTTTAGTCTGCTTTTTTGTTGTCAGTGGCTGTCTAACAGCACCTACGCTGTATTTTTCTTCATTAAGAAATTCCACCTTTTGTCATCAGAGCAGCCTCTCGGTTACAGTCTCTCACCAAACGCCCACTCGGGTCCTGACAGACAGTGAGAAGATGCAGCCTCTTTCAATCCCTCCATAAGTGACATAAGCTCATTACTCACAGTAAACATTGTTTGCAATCTGTGAACGCAAGTCCTGACTGCTGCCGCTGTGTGTTCACACCCACATAGATACAACGCACACATCCCCGGCTAATGGCAGGTTTGTGCAACTCTGTCGTTTGTTTGGAGTTTTTCTTTCCAGAAAGACCTGCAGACGGAACAACCACTACTAAGTCAAACTGTTGGATTATGATAATGTTTCACAACTCATAAATTCCCCATTTAACCGTCCTAAGAATCAGTGTTTCCTTCATTACACTGGCTCAGGGTGTATGTGGGCGTATTTGAGGGCCGCTGCACGACAGCCTGTGTCTGTTGGGTAATTTCAGGTTCGCAGTCTATTTGCAAAATCCTGCCGTAATGAGCCATGATCTCACTTGTTTGGATCACATTGTGGAGTGATGATCACAGAGAAAACACAAGAGGAGGAGAGGCCAGGTTTCAGACGAGGGCACAGAAGTATGTGAGGGGATGAGTTACGCCATCAGATACCCATCTCCATGACTGTAATTGTTTTTGTCTTTCATGGAACTTAATGACGACTTTTTCAAAGAACCTGGAATGTGTGTGTGTGCCCGCGTTGTGTGTGTAGGTCGCTGCCTTTGCTTGTGTGTTTTTAATTGAAACATTAAATCAGGTTGTCACACCTTTCGTAATGGGTTGGGCCGCTGTTACCTTGTTTCCTGTCAACCAAACAAACAAAGTGCAATAACCAGCCAAAGCAGTTTCATCATCACATGCCATTTATGTGGACCTGATGTGGTGCTTTCTGAAATTCTGGGTATGTCCTCTTGTCAGTCTCCTTAAACAATGCAGCAAAGTTTATGACGCTCCTAATATGTGAAAAATCCTGCAATCATTAATTAAAGGAATGCACTACAAATATAAAATCTAGGGCATAAAAAATGAGTAAACTGATTAAATATAAGCTGTTTTAAAGGTGTATTTTAAGTTGAGACTTGAAGCACAGGCTCTAATCTGCACTCAGGCAGGGTAGTTGGTCCCACAGAAAATAAGCCTGAAAGCTAAAACCTCTCATGCTCTGGGAAACACTCTCTGAGTCAGGTGTCCTCAGAAGCTGACAGGGGAAGAGGGGAGACCTTTGAGATATGATGGAAACTTTGTACACCGCGAGAAGGGCTTCAAAGTCTATTCTAAAGTTTACTCCGAGTCAGAGTAAAAGGGCTAATGCATGAAAAAAATGCCACGGCTCAAAACTGTTTTTTTTTTCTCTCAGCGCTGCATCCGAACGGAAAGTCCAGAAAGCTCTTATCAGTTATCAGTGTCACTATGATGAACAAACCCCAAACCCTGTGGACCGCCATAGACGGATACCATTGATATTTACAAACCACAACATCTCACATAAATTAAACTCTTGGATCTTTTTTTTTTCTTTTCCAAAGGATTATATGAGAATATGCAAATAAATATACTGTAAATATATCTGTCCAGTCGGTTTTGAGGCCACACACGTGGCCGGTCTACCACTGCTTCAGTCCAGCAGCGACTCCCTGCCAGACGTATGAGTGGCAAATGGCAAAAAGATCATTAATCAAACTATCAGCACATGGTCATTGTTCCTTTGGGCCTCCTGCCTCGATTCTTTCCTCCTCACATTTTCCATCTTTGTTGCTGTGGAAATGTTCATATATATATATATTTACTTTTTATCGGGATTACTGTGAGCTCCAAGAAAAATAATTAGTTTATTCAGCTGCAGAGTTTGATGCATTGTTTCTTTTACAAATAACTGAAGTTTGGAAATCTCCACAATTTGTTTGAACCTCTTGAGCCATTCGAAGAGACAAACAGCAACTAACAGGAGGCTTAGCTGCCCTCACCGAGGGATTATGGATGACAAATGAGTTTATCACTGAGTTTATGACCTTTGTTTACTCGTGCACTGGCTTCTTCCCTGCCACTTGCCTTTAGGCCTCTGCGGGATTAGTTTATGATTGTTTTACTGAGTAAATTACCTCATAATTACCATCATTAGAACTTGTATGTTAAGCAGTGACAAGCAGCCTTGCTGGCAGTGTGAAAACCTGGTAGCAAAATGTGACATGATGGATTCTCTGTTATTAATGATAGTTGAATCTGTCACTGAGAAAAATGGCTTTTGGTTTCCACTGCACCATCAATCATCTGCGCTGGCGTCTGGTGGGGCATGTCGGGGTGATGGACAGACAGGGAGCGGCAGATGAGCGCTAAACTGTCAGGAGGCCGCCGACCTCCAATTGTTGACTTAAATCCCGTAACCTCCTGGCATCCCCGGACTTTCTGCGCAGACAGATTCCTATAATTGTTTCTTTTCCAATACAACCTGGTTTCTTCATCATTATCTGCGCAATCCTTCAGCATAAAGATAAAGTTACACCGAGGTTATCCGGATGGTTTTTCATTCTGCCTTCTCTTGTTGACGCAGCGTCATTTTTACATTTACGTTTTAATTGAATATTGTAAGCCTCTCTTTCCAAAACCTAAGTCCATTCTTCACTTTTCAATTTTTTAGATTCCATTAGATCTAAGATGGCAAAGACCAAGATTGCCGTTTAAGATCTCTTTCCTGGCCACCTTTCATCATTAGAACCCATGAAGGATGTTGGATAGAATTTGGATTGTCTGGTCAAAGGGGGTGGCTTTCTGCTTCACATACCACTCCACAGTGTCATAGACATTAGAGGGACTTAAGATTTTAGTAAATAATTCTTTTAGGGATCATTTATTGTGTACGAATTCGCAAAAGTGAAAAAATATTTGGATTACTTAGTTTTTGTTTGTCTACGATTTGTCAGCTTTAATTGTTTGCAGAGAAAAGAAAAAAAGCTAATCCTAACACTTTAGCCTTCTTTACGCTCTCATTAAAGCTAATAGAATTGTAAACAGTAAGAGAACTGCTGCTGATGCATCCTGGGCCCGCTCAGTGAGTTAACCAGTCAAAGTTTGCTGCTGACTCAGGGCTGTGCAGAAAAACCCCAAAGTCAGAAATATCTGCGAGCTGTTTTCTTTCGGGTTAAATCGTGGCAGGTCCTTTTTGAGGCGTGTAAATCACTTTGGAGAGTGCCCCCTCTTAGCAGACGGCGCGTCACAGACATGCCTAAACTGCAGTAAGTGACCCTGAGATTTGTGCGATAGCGCCGAATGTGTGTTTTAGCCAATGTGTCAGAAAGCTCGCGCAATCTGCTTTTATTTAGCATGTTTGTGCCTATGTGTGCTGTGCTCTGGCATATGTGTGACGGCGACGATAATGAGGCTGAAGAGAAATGGGGAGGGGCTCATGAGTGGGCGATGATAAGTGGCATCTCACAGAGAACTGAACATGATTAGTCAGGAGATAATCTGCTCTCCTCCGTCTGTGTGCAGTGTGGGCAAACTCCAAAGAAAACACTCCGCTGTTTTCTTTGCTGTGCTTTGCACACAGTCTCATTCTCACACACACACTCACACACACGCAAAATGATTATCGAGAGTTTAGCAAGACATGGCAAAAGGAAAAGAGTGGGCGTTTGTGGGAACTCGCAGTGTGTGTGTTTGTGTTACCCCTTCATATTCTGGTTCTTCTGTGCTGTAGGTGAGGCCGTCACAATCAGGGTGTCCCACAACGTGTGAGGGACCTCTGATGTTCCCCATCGCTTCCCCCAGCATTCCTTCCCTCAATTATCAACATAATGACTGGGGGGGGGGGGAGCCACTGCAGAGTCAGTGCTCACGCTTTCCTCAGGTCATTTTGATTGGGCCGTACGCCACGTGCAGATTCCTACCCAAACCTCGGAGTCTGATGGTCCCATGATAAATCTTTCCTACATCTCCACGCCACTGGTATGGTCCTGTGGACTCCGGTGCGGAGCTGGCTCGGTAATCGAAGCTTGGAGTGTTTACACATGTGCGGTGGGTGCAGGCCACCGCCACAGCTAAACGTTTACAATAATAGTCTCCAAGTGATGCCTGTTGTAATAAAAGTCAAGCCTCCCGCCTGGTGCAGTGAAACCAATCTGTCGTGCTGATCTTATTATAGTCAAATTAAACTGTCGTGCCTGCGGCAGAAAGGCTGTAAACTGTGGAACTTGAATAAAAACACAAGCATGCTTGCCAGAACATTCACTGCCATCGTACACAGGTGTGATGCCTCAGTCCTGCATACACAGACCCTCCGTGGGATCAATCCTAAATGTAATTTTTTTAATAAGAAGTATCTGCTAATTTTTGACTTCTCAAACAACCTTTGCTTTAATCTCATGAGAACCTTTACATAGTACATAGAATTATATATTCAGTTAAAATTATGTAGGTTTAAGAGCATAGGAAGTGTTTTTAAGAGTGTGGGAAGGGTTTCTTAAAATATGTATATGAATTATAAAATAAATATAAAGTCACCGCAGATTTTTCAGATGAACCAGTTATTCACCTTTACTCCATCACTATTTACAGTTAACGTTACATAATCAAACTGACAATCTTGTCAACATTAAGCCGCCAATAGTCGCATTATAAATTGCAGTTGCTTGTATTTTAAAAGAATCTCTGAAGGAAGTCTGTGTGTTCTTTGAATTGGAAGCGGATAGAGGAAGTTAAGTGCAATGGAAAACAGTTCAATCAATCGAAACAAAGTGTGTATATTATATTAAAGCTTTACATTAGATACATTTATGAACTGATTGGAGCTCTTTGGCTGTGGATTTGTCTCCTTTGGCCTTTCATGATGACTTACAATGGACTCATGGATTGCTCTGTTTAACAATTTGAAATATTTCATTAATATTTGATTAAATCTATTTGAAATAGATGTATTGCAATCAACTTAATTCTAAATCATGGATTAGTGTTTTCCTTTGAGGTCATAAGAAAAATAACTTTTTAAAAAATGGAAGAAAGGTGCTGTTTTCAGTCATTTCTACAGAAGGTGATCTTCCTATGTTCATTTTGCAGCTGAAAAGTAAAAAAAAAAAAAATTTGTGTAATTTTTGGACTGAAAGTGATGTCTGGGTAAGGTCGCTCATCTGAGTTGCGAGGTCCCTGTACTGCTTGTGGTGAGCTGTCTTTTGTTTCTCTGGATTGTGTTGCACCTTGTGTCGTTTGGAAGCCGAGCCCTTGGAGACGCGGCGAGGGGAACATCTCAGAGCCAGATGTTTCTCTCCTCCTCTGCTCCTCAGCGACGTGTCTCCATTCAGACCCTGCTCGGGTTTAAGTGACATGCAGGCATTAGCAGAGTGTCCGTCACCACCTGACTGCCCCAGGGAGACCCACAGCAACACAAACTCGCACATATACAGTCACATCGGAGTTAGCCACGGGTGGCTGGCCAGCTTTATGGTAGCAGTTGGTTCTTTTCGGTTTTATTGACTTTGACTTGTGGCTCGAGTAAGAAAATACGGCCCATCATAACCACATGTGAAGTCTGGGCTTATTTTTCAGATTTATTGTTGTTTCTGTAATCCACAGGTTTTAATGTTGCCTCATGCTCATCACAAATGAACATTTGAACTTTTATCCTGTAATGAAGCTGTTCAAAACAAAACAAAAACTGTTATATTGTTTTTTTTTTAGAAGTTGTAAAAAAAAGAGTAGATTATTGTCTCAAACTAATCAGTTGTCAGAATTATATTGCCCGAAAGCAGTTTTTTATTGTTCAGGCAAAAGTCTCTCATGTTTTCTTGTGGTCAAGTAACACATTTAAAGCTTTATTTAGCATCTTTGTCCTAAAAAAAAACAATTTTTGTGTCCCTTTGTTTGGCAACAGCTGCAGTAGTTACCTATGAACATCAATTAATGACATAAAACAATTTGAAATGGGAGTTTACCTTTGCTGATCTAAATTAGAGGGAATTTATTAACCGAGATGGTTTTACGCTGCTGAAATAATGCACCATCAGTCGGCCTGTATTTAAATAGCCCGCGTGATCAGTTACTGCTGTTGGGGATTCATGATGTTACAACTGACCAAAAGTAAGTTTAATTTACTGCATTTAAAGAAAGAAACCACTTTCTTAATCAGGATCTCAGACTAAAAACCACGAGCATGGTCAGTATTTAGCAGACAACAGTTTCAAACTAATCTGATCAGAATTACTGGTGTTTGGCTCCCTGGAAGAAATACTAATGCTGCTGATGTGATAATTAGACCTAAAACTCATATCTTGGCCAGCTTCAAGCCCACATTCAGCCTAGAATAACTCCAATCATTCGGCCTTGTTGAACAATTTGTTTCTAAACAGGATAGCTGCAGTTCTGAGTGCTCTGCATGCTGAATGAGCAGCTACTTTGGAGAGCTCGATCTAGCTAACTAAAGAATAACCTGGTGGGACAGCCCACAGGGAAAGAACACAATAAAGCTGCAGCCTTTTTATCATAAAGCTTAAACAATCATACGTTTTGAAAGCAAAATCTGCCTTTTAGTTTCTGAAAGCATTTCCAGCCTATTAAAACGCCTCTTTTGTTAACCACAGCATCATCTGTCAGAACCAACATTCAGGTCGTTTAAAGACAACGCCCATGCCGATATGTCTAAATGCTCAACGATCTTGGACAGGGAAAGTCAGAGGATGAAGAATTTCTTAATGCCTTCTTAAACTGAACATAGCCTTGATCAGTTACTGGAGTCCCCACCAGTACAGCTCACTTCATCTAGCTGGTTCATTTGGTTCCAGTTGTTTTTATTTTCAGCCCGGGAAACCAGTCCTGAAAGCCTTTCTATAGTCTTCATTTAAACGCCCTCTGCAGCCTCTCACATACGGTGTTACTGTGGTGTTTACTGACACATTCACACATCCCATACGGCTCAGACGGTGATCCCGTCACAGGGTTTAAACACGCCGCAGACAAATGCGTGGACGGGGATCGTAAAGGTTTCCACATCCCGAAACAGAAAACGCTGTAAAAACCATCAACCCGAGTGAGGCCGTGATGAGCTGACAGGAGTGGCTGCCAGAGCTGACTTGGCAGAACACCAGCAGTGTCACTGTGGTATGTTGTGTTTGCTTACAAGTGTAACCGCACCAGGAGATTGTCACAGACACAATACAAGCTCTCATTTCTCCATGTGAGTGTCTGTTGACACTTGTTGTCGGATTGAGAGATGATCCATGACGGCTACGTGACTGGCAGGCCTCAGCTTTACTCTTCAGGTGTCAGTTGCAGTGGCAGCAGCTTTTTAATCCTGATCGCTTTTGACAGCAAATCTTTGCCTGAGGATTATTATGATATGGCCTAATGCATTAGGTCAGAATCGCAAGGCTTACCGTTTTATTGATTGTCCATCATTTTGCTCTGATTTCTGCCAAGACATCCAAATTCAGCGTTACGGCTTGTCCCGTCTGTGAAGATATGTGCCGACCCTTGTTTGGTTTTTTAGAGGCCATGAGAAAAAAAAAAAGCTTTGATAACTAATGAAAACTGTATCTGTGCCCTGTTTTCCTTCTATCTAGACAGGAAGTGAAAACTGGGTTCTGAATATGTAATTATGCAGAAGAAGTGTAAGATATCTCTGAAAAGGAAGAGATTTCATATGCACGACTTTGAATGGGTCTCTGTTTGTGCTACTCTGTATCCGCTTCCTTGCGGTAAATGGGTAAGGCGACCCGGGGCCGGACAGGTTGTGGTCAGCCTTACCGGGAAGGCAGAGGCTGGGAGAGGTGAGGCTTCTGTAGCTCCGGTTGTGGTGGACGGATGAAGCGAAGGCGAGGACAGAGGGCTCTGTGAAAAAAAAAAGTGGTGACACCAGATACGAGTGCAGACCCGGGGCTCGTACAGACCAGCCTTTAACTTGTGTACAAGACCTTGTCGGAACCATTTGATCAACCGAAAAAGTCAAATCACAAAGAGTCTCTGTGACCGATGGACAATTTGTCCAGGGTGTAGCTGCAACTGGAATACCTTCTGTTCCCCAAACAGGATTAGGTGCTTGGAGATGTTTTCATTTGGAATACATTTCCTGGCCAAAAAAGATCCACTGTCTGCATTTGTGACAGATTCAGTGCTGCTAGGCTAACCATTCTTCGTTAAAAAGCATGTACTGCATTTTTCTTACCGTTTGGTTCTAGGTTCAGGTCTCATTCTGCATCTGACGCTCAGCCAAGGTACCTGTTTTCCATCCTACGGCGTCCACGCGAGCTCTCACAGCCGGGGTCGAAGATTAATGAAAAACCTCTATGCTTCTCTTTAGTTTTAGCTCCTGGTGGCTGGCATATGTTTTCATTTTACCAGCTGTTAGCATATGTCGCTCTTAGTGAGTAATCCACTCTGCTGTGTGTAGTTTAGAAACACACATCAGCCTAAAGTGATCAGAGGTGAAGACCTGCCTCCTCTCAGCCTTTGATTGACTCGGACCATGACTTTCTTCTTCCACACACACAGTCAGATGTGAAAAGGGAGGTTGTATGTTAGAGCCCTTATGGCAGTGATTATGCCATAAAGCAGTTCTACAAAAGTTTCTTTGTTTTCTTTTTTTTTTAAATAATGTATCAAAAAGCAAAAAGTTTTTTGCCTTTTTTGCCTTTCTGGAAAGACATTGTGGGACCTGTTATTCCTAATGTTTTGAGAGTCTCAGACTCATCTCTGGAGTTTGTGTGAATATGATTCAGTTTTGCTCCTGAGCAAGCAGCTGGATAGCCAGAGGTTGCGCTTGTGGTTTGTCCAGGTTGCTGGTGGATCGTGGGATAGTTTGGGTCACTGGGCTTTCTTCCTCCATGTGCTCTTGTTGACTAAGCATCTTGTGTCCATTCCAAGCACTCTATATCCTTTACCAGATTGACATAAGGCTCTTTCATTCACTCAACTTGTTTTACTGTTCTTCTAATTTGATGCATAATGCTTTCACGATTTGGTTTCAGACAGCATATTCCACATGTTCTGCTTTTGGGGGGGGGGGAGGTTGCAGTTGTTTTGGCTGTTCCTTCCTGGAAATAATCCTGTCACATGTTTCTTTGACATTGTCTTTCCTTTGTGTTGGGAAAAGTATTGGAAGATGGCCGTGCCTAGCAGGGAGAGCCTTTCCATTGATATCTAAAACCTCAAGCAGAGCGCTTCCCCTTCCTGAAAACCCTTCCCTGCCACAGGCCTCCTTCAAAGACAGGCCACTCCGCAATGGTCCGACCCGGCATGCCGACCCCTGCTCCCACGTTCCCGCCCTGGTGAGAGAGGCGGGTGGAGCTGGGTTGGACTTGAACCCAGGCGATTGTCTTCAGCTAACCTTTCTGTGTTCCTGTGTGTGTACGTCCACGTGGGTTCGTAAAAGTGTGAATCATGACTTTCTGCCGATGACATTTCAGGTCATTAGACAGACAGATTTAAACTCAGAGGACCACACAGAGGGAAATGGCTGTTATTGGGTAATGATACATGAGTAATATTAAAGGCAGAGGCTTTGGAAAGAATATCTCAAACTCAGATTTCCTTTTTCTGATGATTAATTTTGAAAAAAGGATGAAAAAATTGAGAAAAACAGCCTGCATTAAATTCCTGTCTTGTTGGTAAGATGGGGTGGGGGGGGTTCCTTTGTTTCTATTTATGAGCATCTGGTTACAAATTCCTCACCAGAGATGCTTGTCAGTCAGTAATCTGTGAGGAAGAGGAGAGGAAACATTAAGGCTTTATGGAGACAGGCTTCCGTCTACTTAAAGCAAAAAGCGGCTGTTTGTTTGACTGCATTGCCGATTGCCTCAATATTGTTGCAGAGCCGGTGTTAAACCCAATGGCTAACCGGAGCCATTTTAATAGAGATAAATGACAGAGATTAGGTTCCCATCACGTCCCCGTCTCCTCAAACATGCACTCCCATTATGCATGCTGCGATATCTCTCCCCAATAAGGACAATCTCACATGCCATTTTGCAAAGATTGATGACTGGCATTAATGTGGATTTGTGCCCATTTTTCGAGGAACTAGTTAATTTTAGCCTGTGTGCAAGCACTCCCTTAATACGTGCACATTCCACAAACAACACACAGAAACGCACACATATCAACAGTCATTTGGTGAATGTGTGTGCGTGGGAGCACAGTAGTGTCAGAGTTTTGATCAATCAGCCTCTCTTCCCTTAACTGAGCCGCATACTTGAGTGGACTTGGCCGAGACTCATGAAAATATGCGCCTGTGAGCTGATTTATGTCCTTGACTCGCAGCCAGCTGTTTCTTAATGCATTCATAACAGTTTAACAACAGACTCTAATAACAGTGTAGTCTGTTGTCCTGACTCCTCATTTAACAAACCAGTTTTTTTCCTTCTTGACTTATGGCCTCACAGATCATTTGACGAATGTATGGGCACAGAGATGTAGAAATAAGGAAAGCGGTGTTGTGAGAAGACAGACACAGGAACAGGGTGTGGGGGTGGTGGGGGGGGAGATGGTGAAAGACATGGAGGAAGGCATTGAGATAAGAAAGTGCTAATGTCTCTAATCCGCTCCAGATGAAAGCTGTTGGTGTGATGAGGTTGGGGAGGATGGGAATGGTTGGCCACTCCCCCATCACACCGTAAGTCCCCCCACGTGTTTTGTGATCAGACATCACCATAGAAATGGAAACAACAACAGGCATGCGGTCACAAACATGTCCTGGATTGAAGGTGGCTGATCAGTTTCGCTCACCCAGCCCTCGCTGTGTTCTTGGTTTGCTTTAGCGGTGTGCCAGGAGAAGGAGTAGGGAGTACCACAGGTTTCTGTGTGATCACCACCTCTTCAGTCCTGTCACTGAGGAGCTGTTTTCCAAAACATAGGGACTTCCAAAACCGAGTTAGTAAAAAAAAAATGTTTTCACCTTACATGTGAGGAAAGATAACTTTTAATGTGCATTAGTTACAGAAAAAATTAACAGTAAAGGATGATCGTTACAGGAATTGTTGCTTTTCAAGTAAGATTGATGACAGTTCTACTGTTGAGCAAATCCGAAAAGCTCTCGTGCGAAAGCCTGGTTGCAACTTTGATGTTTAGTTTAGAGGGGAATTCTAAACCGATGGTTCCTTTGACAAATGTGAATCTCCACGACTGTAGTGAAATTGGACTACTGATTGAGGATTTTATAAATTTGTACTTTCTGCTATAGAGAATGTCAATTTTAAGTCAATAATCATTCAGCTTTCCTTTCTCTTTTTATATCACGCATCACTGCACACCTCTTTATCAGTCCTGTTTTACGTTTTTCCTCCAAGGTCTCCTACTACTACAGCCCACAGCATGAAAATGGCCCTAAACAGACACTTTCAGTCACTGCAGGACAGACAGGAAGGTATTTATAACCAACAGGCACCATGTAACAGCCTGGCCGTTCTCTTTTCCCTATGATGCTCAGGCAGCTGCTATCCAGGGGGTCCTGGGTGGGCAAAGATGGACTGACAGGGGTGTGAGGTGGGGTAGTAGAGCAGAGTTGCCAGGAAAAGGGAGTATGTGGCCAAAAAAAACAAAAAACGGCTTGATTCTGGTCATGTGCAGGTTTGTGTCCGTGGGAGAGCAAAGAACACTATGAATCCATAGGTGTGCATAAAAATAGAGTATTTTACCTGCAGATGGAATAGGATTGTCTACTTATTTGGGAGTGGGGCACTGGTGGCTTCCTCTACTCACAAGGACAGCATTCATCAAGCGAATGGTGGAGGATGGCTGGGTGGGGGTCGGCCGGGTTGCTGCCAGATGTAAGAGGGGTGTAAAGGAGGATTTAGAGGAATGGAGAAAACGGTGGGGTATAGCAGTTGGAGAAGAATGTGCCAACTTGTCAAGTCCTTCCTTTGCCTACCCCCACCTTTTAAATCAGGGGTGATGCTTGGTGCTGATTACAGCCAAATGGAACAGCAGCAGCTGGAGGTGGGAGGGGTGAAGGGGAGCAGTTTGGTCCTCACAGGGGGTCTCAGATGTGGGAGGTCCTTCATCACCTCTCATCCGCTAACTTTGAAGTAATCTGGTCCTGGTCTGCTGATAAAAGTGTGAGGAGTAACACACAGACCAGGTCAGACAAGGAAGCGTTATCTCTGGCTTTGGATGGCGCTACAAGCCAGAGGTTTGTCCGTCATAAAAGAGAATTACAGGTAGATCTGACAGCTCGGTTCAAGCCCATTTCTGTCTGCCCTCAAGTGTAGAAAAAAGGATGCATGAACTTTAGCAGGCATGAAGAAGAGAGGTGGTGATCGTCGTTGTCCTTGTGCTGTAGCTTTTATATCGACACAACGAAGTTAACAACCATCAACAGAGCTCCAAAAGAGTGTCTGGAAAATAAAATCAGCAATGTCAACAAGAGAAATTGGTAGGATTTCTTAAAAAATTCAGATCCAGGGAGCATTTTTAGGTTTTAAGATGGTCAATGTAAAAAATAAATAAAAACGTGTTACTGTTTTAATAGTGTTTTAAAATGGTTGTTTATACTTTCAAGATTGACGGTAGTTTTCTTTAGTGGTGAATTAGTTTCCATTGCATACAGCGGCTCTATGGATTTGTAGTTCTGTGAGTAAATGGTTTGAGGCTCAGGTTTGGATGTGAAATCAGATTGAAAGCTTCAGTTAGCAGCTTTTGGATGTAACCCCTAGAAGAAGCCAACCCCTTGTACTGTTGTTGCTCATCGCGATTGCTCCATTCTGCCCCCCGGCTGCGACCTCGTCTCGCTGCTGTCTGTTGCCATGATTATATGCGTGTTTATGACTGCAGAGCAGGAGTGATTGATTGGTGGTAAATACCTGCAGGGTAGTTAAGGTGATTGAGAGAAAGGAGGAACGAAGAGCTTCTTCTTTTCTTGTGACTTTTCCACGTCGTCCCTTTTCCTGACCCTCTGATCCAGAGAAAATGAACAGAACAGTGATGCTGTCTTCTGTACTAATAAACATTGATGGACATATGGATGCGGTTAAAAAGATAAACATGGTAAAAGATGACATATTTGTTCCTCAATTTGCACTCTTTGTTGCTCGGTTGTACTTCGTTAGTTGTCTTTTGCAAGCTTTGGCACAAAAAGCTACATGGTTATGGTTGAAATTTTGGGTTACTATGGAGTTTCGTCATAATGAGCTCAGATAAAGAAAAGATGGTTGATCTTTGAAGGCATTTAATCAGAGCAATTAAAGTGAAAGAATTCCGAAATGTTTGTTGAATAAAACAGGACAAAATTTAAGTAAATTGCATTGATATTTGATGACAGAAACTCTTGTCAAACAATTTTGTCGAACAATAAAAAGATTGGCTGTGAAGAACCATGAGGACGCTGAGCTATTCTTCAGCCTTTTGGCCGGATCCTGACTCCAATGAGGCTTTGATTCATTCTTGTCATCACTGCTTGTGTAACTTCTGCTGAGGCTCGGCGAGCATACGTGTCTGGCAGCTGTAAAAGGGATAATGTCTGAGGAAAAAAAAAGACTGCTGGAGCGTCAACTGATTGCATTGGCTCAGACATCCTTCATATTTCCTGCGTTCAGCTGCCCGAGAGATGAGCGGGGCAGGAACATCCTTCATATCGGATTGGCCACTACCTGCTCACATCAGTGTCATCAAGGGAAATCGACGCAGACAACGAGAGAGAGAGAGAGAGCCTGACAGAGGTGAAGAGGAGCGCCGGCAGGCAGACGGGGACTTTCCAGGCCCGGCTGCATAAATCCTGAGTTTGACAGTCAATCTCCAGGTCTCAGTCTACCTGCCCTGACATTTGCTCTCACTGCACATATCTCTCCACACATGCTCGGTGAACCCTCCCCCATCCGTCTCCTTCAGATTCACCTGATCTGTGTACTTGTATTTGTTCATTGCCATAGCTGCAGCAGCACTTGCTCCGACTTTGCAGAGTTCTCCTGTAATTAGACACAAAAATGCAGAGATTGAGACGGGATGGTAATGATGAGTGAGCATCATTGGGGAGGATTAGTGGGTAGATTCATGTCATGCCATGTGCAGATCCCTGATCTGAAAAATGAATGTTCACTGTGAAGTCTCCTTTCTGTTTAAGGCACTGCGGTTTACTTTATAAATCCCACCTTTAAAGCTCTCTTTAAGGACATCATGGCCCCGCATCACATCCTGCGAGTACTTCGGAACTTTAACTGTGCGTACAGAGAATAGCCGCTTTAAAAGAAGCACCTGAGCAAATTAGGGATGAATCCTGCTTTGAAAGCATGCTCGAGCGGTTAGGTTTTGTATGAGAGACGTTGCTGTGAGACATAGATACAAATTCAGTGAAGATTTGCTGCTTATATTGAAATCAAAGGCACTCTCAGATCCTATTTCCTGTTACTTTCAGGGAAAAAAAAATTCAGTTTGGTGAAACAGTGGTAGTAAAAGGATGAACTGTAAATGCCCGACCACAATCCTACTGGGTCAGAAGAAGTGATTGAGAGGTATATTTTTTTAAAGGGAGGAAATATTATGCTCAATTTTCCTTGATGCTTGTTAATATTTGGTCAATTTACAGGTTTAAATCGGAAAATGCGTCACTTTTAAACTGAGAAACATCTTTTATTAGAGATAGATTTATAGTAATTCTTTTTCCCGTGGATTTAGATAAACTTGGAACAGAGAGCTGTTTTTCAAGTTAGAAAATGTCCCCCTGTGTGAGTTTTCCAAGTAGCTCTTGACTATTTTTAGTATTCAGCAATACCACCTACACTTTTACTGGAAGAAGGATAGACTAAACAGCCCCTTTCTGATCAAACTTTTCTACAACCGTGGTGGTTATGGGGGCTGGGAAACTTCCCAAAGGAAGATATGTCACCCCTGACTTTTATTTAGTTTGCATTGCAGATGAGTTGAAGAAGCGAAACATCCAGTAAGCAGTTGAAATAACAACCCAATAGAATTCCTCTGTCATATATCAGCTTACCAACTCCAGGTTTGACTGTTGGCTCTTTCCTCCATCGAAAGTTCTTTTCAACCTGACATCAGTAGCTGTCGTTTATGTGGGTGACATGTGGCAGCTGACACGTTTACTTCATGGGGAGTCCCATTGTCTGAAGGTTGAGATTTTATATAGTCCTATTAAAAGAAATGTCTATATTTACTTTTTTATACCCAAATCTCCAATATTTAAAAGGATTGTCTTCAGACAGAGTGCTTAAGTTTTTTTTTTGTTATGAACATGTAATCGAATGTGTATGGTATAACTGACATCACTCAAAACATAAAAGTTGTCCAGCTGCAAACTGAGACCAACTGCATTCAGCTGTTGAATTACTTGAAAATCAGACATCAGCTATTGTCACAACATGTAAAAGTCTTAGAGGTGCTGCTGGCACACTGAAACAAGGCGTAAGACATTGAAAATTGTAGCTGACATCAGCGCCATATGAGGACCCCTCGATGTTTTTATTGTGAATGTTGCTGAGATATGTGAAAAACGGGCCAGAAACGTCTCTATTTTTGGCTATCATGGTCGTTCAGATGAGGTTTAAACTAAAACAGTGAAGCATTAAGGTATTTTCAGCTCCTTTTGCTGTGTTGGTACTTGTGTGCTGGTACTTGGGCATTTCCATTCTACTAGAATGGCTGAAGACAGCAAAAGTCTTTTTCTAGCCATAGACTCCAGCATGGTCATGGAGAATTGATGATTTTGCATATTCTTTTCTTAATATTATTCTGTATAAATGCATACAGTACATGCAGTATTTATGTGGCCTTGTGGCTGCATACATTTAATTTAAGCTTCCCTATCAAGAGTTTTCTATCAAGTTTTAAAATCAGATCATCTTCAGAGGACCCTGTAGTACATAGACAATCTGTTCAGTGTGTACCCTGCCTCTGTCTGACCCCTGACAGCTTGAATAGGATAAAGTAGGTGGACATCTCTAAATGATAAAAGTCACACATTATTATGGTTAAATTGTTAATTTTTAATCAGAAGTAACGTGTGTCATCTCAGCCTGTTTTAATAAAGTAGGTTCCGCAGAGATGCAATCATATAAAAGCTTTTTGAATCATGTAATGGTGTTCATATCGTCCCTTAAGCCTCTTTATGTCACCAACAAAGACTGCTTTATGGGAATTCTTGGTATGATGTGCGTCTGTTTTTCTCTGTACTGTATTTGTTGTCATTCAAGGAATACTGACCTGTCAAAGGTTCTCATGTCAGTTAGCTCTACTTGTATTCTTCTGGGGAGTGATCCACTTAAAATGCATTCATTTCTTTCCTTAAAAAAAAAAAAGGATGATGCAGTGACATGATAACACGCCTCCGCACTATTGTTTCTGCATTTTTACGCTATTGCGTTTGCATTTCAGGTTGTTTGGCAAAGAGTGAGGAAAAAATAGCTCCTGTGTTTTTATTAAGAAGGTGTGTGTGTGTGTCTGAGTTTAAGCACAGACAAGTGAGGGACACACCTCCAACAAGACAGGACTGGAGGTGGAGAGGTTCCCCCTTCAGGTTTCATGACAACAGCAACGCACAGCGCCGGGTGCAGGGCGCTGTTTGGGGAGCGGGCTGTGAGCGTGGGCTGCATACAGCAACAGTAGCTTAGGCTACCACAGCACAAAAACACTCAAACACTCATTACACACCTAATTTACCTCGGCATTACCAGCTTGTTCAGCGCAGACTTGGAACTTGTTGTTTTTAATGGCATTTAACTATTTCTGCATCACACGGGGTAGTACCCAACACCATTACATGCACAGGTAGATACCGATAGCTAGTGCAGCACGCAGGCAGAGGGCTAACGCCACCAGTTCCTGGTCTGTGATGAGGTGTAGCATCATGAGCTGTGGGCAAAAGCGACATGTCAGCATGTGGACGGGAAGGTCCCCTGCAAGGGGGTGGCCTCTTTACGCTGATCTGTGTTGAACAGAGTAAAGTAAAGTGATTGTCTGGCACTGTGTGGGCTTTTCCGAATGGATCTCAACCGCTTTCTCCTCCAGGGAATTCAGCCTGTTTGTCTTTGCTCTGTTAACACACGACGTCTCTAATTTCAGTTGGCCTGTAATGTGATGAGTAAAGGTGTAAGTGACTGTGGTTTCTCCCCACAAACCCCCACCCTTACATGTGTCAGTACTCACACAAACACACACATTCTCCTTCTCTGTAATCTCCACCTCCAGGGTATCTCTCTGATTTCTTTATTTGGGTGCTTGGCGTAAGCAGGAATGTGCTGGAGTTGCTGGATGTTCAAATGTAGTTTATCATAAGGAGAAAGTGAGTCGGATGGACGGAAATTTCAGCTGCGTACACTAGTTTCTCGTCCAGTTTTAAGTGGGATGCTTTGTTGTGTCATTCAAGATAATTAGTAGGAATTGAAGAAAAGCCCAAACAGACCCTGCTGCGAGTTTCTCTCCAACTGTTTTCATTCCTAGCTATGCTGTGTTGTATTCTATTTTTCGAGATCTGTTTTGTATTTGCAGTCTGGCCTCCAAAACATCTGAAACCATTCCAAACTCTCAGATATTTCTAGATGCATTAAAAACATCCACATTTTAAAAAGAAGTTCTGCTCTTTCTGGAGCAAAATGCTGTCTTACAACAGTGAGGAAACCTCAGAAAGGTTTTGTCATCAGTTCATCTCTGGATTACAATTAATTGTTTATACCTCTGGGATAATAACTATGTAAACTGGGTTCCTGTATAATATTTACTTATGTGAAGCTAATTATTCAAGCTAACAACTTGTTTCTAATAGAAATCTGTATATTTCTAGAAATAAAGACTGATTTATTTATTTATAACTCTCACTACAAGTGGTGAAAATAAATTCTAAACATAATGAGGTTTCATTACAACTCTCACGATCACAATTCATATTGAAGACCTCCAGTGGACTAATCAATTCCCTGAGTATCAACTGTACGCTAAGGCAGTGATTTACTCAATTTTGTGTCATTACTGTTGTTGTCTTTATTACTTATTGTAGCCCCGTATAACAGACACCTCTGGGTTGAAAAGCAGATTGAGACGGGGCAAAAGTATGACATCCAAGCTAAACATTGTTCAGTGTTTCCAATATTTACTCAGCAAATGATCGAGCAATTTACCATTTTCTCGGGTAATGCCCCCTAGACCCGAGAAACCCACCAGACGAAGCTTTTTCAGTTCATGCTAAGAGACTTCTTTAAAAGGAAAATTAAATTAGACAAATTAAATAAAAGTAGAGCCAAGACATGAGAGTATAGAATGAAGAGTTTTGATTTTGGGTGACAGATAAATTGATTAGAAAAGACTGAACATAGTATATTTCTTACAAATGTGTTTCTTATTGTTGAGTAATTACTATACATTCTTCCCCTTCTGTGTATATATACAACTTAATGTCTACATTTTATCCTGTGTGTGAGGCCGGTATGCAGAGGCCATGGCTGGATAAATGTAGCTCGTATTTATACATCTGTCACGACACAGATGAGCACGCCTGCACACGTGTGCACATACACACGTATGGAGTCACATTCCACAGTTCCAAGCATGCATTTCAACAGGCCCCAGTGTGTGCAGGGACGAAATGAAACCTCCAAATACAGCACCTATATCTTGTTCGTTTCGAGCCTTTTTTGTCGGACGGCTTTGTCTGGGTCGGGGTTATTTGCTCACCATCGGACCCCCAATGCTGACAGAGCCTGGCTAACTTCCCAGAACAGAACAATATCTGCCAGGTCGTCTGAGGGGCCCAGCAGCCACCCCCCCAGACACAATCAAACGGTCTCATACACACGCGCACCCACACACCCGGCGATGTACACAAACGTCTGGCCTTTAAACCGTCAGCACTCCGGCTGGGCCTTACATAATGACAGAGAATGGAGGCATTAAGGCAATTTGTTTGATTTAAGCTGTCAAGGCGTCTTGGACCCTGCCCTCTCAGCTGGTTTTGATACCTCCTGTGTGTGCATGTGTGTGTGTTTTTCTTTTTTTACTCCGTCTGTTTGCTCCCTTTGTGTCTTTCTTTGGTTGTCTTGGGTGGTTTGGGACAGATTAGCGGGAGTTACCTTGAGATGTCTTTTGGATGTACTTGTCATACGAATTTGTTATTTAATGTCATTTTTCCTCATATAGAAGCAGTATCATACAACATCTGGGCAAATTTTCAGTTCTTGGTCTTCTGTTTTTTTTTTACAGAGGTTGAACTTGTAGAGTAGATTGGGCCATTTTAAGACAGCTAATGTATAAGCAGACATTGCACTTCAGCTGTTTTAACCATTTCTGTAATAATTGATGGCATACTTTGCATTAAAATAACTTTCAAATGAAGTCTCAGATGGCTGAAATGAAAAGTCAGAAGATCTCATCCCAGGGGTTCTGGGCAAGTTCTGTCCTTTGGTGCTGCTTTTTGCGGCTTTTTGAAAAATTTCCCCCTAGACTGCTGCTGGTTCCTGTGGCATAAATGAAGGCCAGAAAAGAACCCCTCTCCCAAAGACCCAAGTTCCTGGAAACATTTTTTTTTATGATGGGTGGATCCATGTTTTTTTTCCCTCGGAGAGTTTTTTTTCTCTTTAGGGTTATTTGATGAGCTCTACTCTTTCCTTAAAAATTAAGGTATGTCTCATCTTTTGTAGACCCTTAAGACCAATAAGTGGTGCTTCTACTGTGTGACTCCCTCGGATGAACAGAACCAGGTTCTGATGCTGGGGTGGTTCTCCTGCCCCCCTATTTTCTGAAAAACTTCGTTTTAGATTTAGTCTCTAATGGCTCCCCTTCTAATTTTCAGTCTGCTGTGATTGGTCAGCTGAATTTCTACGAAATATGCCAAACGGTTACTCCTTATTTTGTCATTTAACAAAAAAAGGGAATGGACTGACATGTATTTCACAGGTATTGACATGTTGTTTTCTCTCACTACTTTCATAAATGATTTAGATATAAATGAAAATGCCAGAATGCAAATTTAAAGGAAAAGTGGAGCGTCACAGGTAATTACACTGAGCAGTGGAGGGTAATTGAACCTGATTAAACCTTCTTACCTACTGTGTGTGTGTGTGTGTGTGTGTCTGACTAAGTGTGTATATGCTGTGAGGGGAATAGAGGCCCAGTGTTCTTGGGTCCCAGCTTTAAATAAGAGGTCTTTATCTGGCCATGTGTGCAGCGCTTGGTGTAAAAGCTCTGAAGGGTCGGAGCGTTTCCTCCGCTCAGACGTGGCCCAGTTCCGCTCTCTCCAGGTGTGGTGACCACTAACCAGCTCGGCTTTTAACCGTCACGGATGATTTAGAGCCCGAATCCAACCCGGCACACGCCTCGGCACACGCGGTCCAGATACAGTGTCACGCACACATGCACCCGCACATCCATTTCTAATTTACACTCAATTTCTCCCCAACTGTTTATTAGGGTCCCCCCCTCCTCTTGAGATTCCGGGGTTTGGATGTTAGCTTTGAGATATCAGATTTCTGATTGGTTCTGATGGGTTTCAGGAATGGCCCCGGTCGTCTTCGGGGAAGGCTTTGTGGTCACCTCGTTTGACATGTGACTTGTAACTCACCTGATCTAATTTAAGCTTTGGCCTTCTGTTTTTTGAGAAACACAGCTCAGACTGTGGATAACAAGCAGTGTGGCTCATGTTATTTCTCCATCTTTCTCTCCCCCCCCACCCCCTTCTTCCAGATTTCCTTTGAACTGGCAGAGTACACTGCTAACGTGGATGGCGTGGGCACGCTGCGCCTCCTGGATGCCATCAAGACGTGTGGTCTGACCAACAGCGTGAAATTCTACCAGGCCTCCACCAGTGAGCTGTACGGCAAAGTCCAGGAGATCCCTCAGAAGGAAACCACTCCCTTCTACCCCCGTTCACCCTACGGTAACACACACTGATGCTTATGGAGCTGCCACCAGCGGCAAACTATACAAACCTTTACTGAACGCTGTTTAAGATTTACAGAAAACAAAGCACTTTCTCTCGGTGTGTTTGTGAATGTGTGTCTGTGCTGGCGAACAGAAGGGAGGCTTCAGTGCTCAGACTCTGTTTGAGCTCTCCACACACCCTGAGGCCAAACGTCTGATTGAGGACTGGAGTGGCTCTCGGTTTAACAAAGACACCTTTATATCCACAGCACTCAGCACTTACTTTCGGCACACACACACACACACACACACACACACACACACTCGCACACATGCAGATACACAGCTGTACACGTGTGTAACCGGTCAGGTTTCATGTTCTCTGTTGTCTAAACGCTCTCCTCACTGACACTTTTCCCATCTGTCAGCACTCAATCTGAGGCTATATGGGAGGCGCGTACCTTCTGGAGAAGGGCTGCTCCTCTATTAATTAGACTTGGGAAGGTGGAGGTGGAGGTGGGGGGGGGCACTACGGCGACCTCTTTTCACCTCCAGTGTGCATCCGACCTACAGCTTGATCAACAGGCACCTCCCTTCATTTGCTTTGGTATTCCCCTCATTACATTTGGAGCTTGGAGGAGGAGGCCGGTGAGAGAAGTTTGTGCTCAGGCCTGCATTTGGTCAATCAGCAGAAGTCTGGCTCAGGCTGCTGGCAGTGAAACACGACCCGCAGTAATGCCGCGCTCTGCCAGGAGATGTGGCTGAGTCAGAAAGTCTAATCTCCTTCTTTTAATGGACACGTCCTGTGACTTCGATGGAGGGGATGAGTGTTTCTCTGTCTGCTGTGCATGGTTGAAACAAGAGCTCTAAAATGATAGTCTTCAACCATTTTGAGTTTTAACGTTTATCCTCTTCCCCCTCGGTTGTGGTCACACTCGACTCGGTTGAAAAAAACAAAACCTTCATCTTTTTGTGTGGTTTCAAAGTACAGCAGGTTCAGATTAGAGTTTATTTCTCATTGATCAAGACTGATGAACATTTATTTCATTTATACAGAATTTATACATTTCTTTTTCTTCCCCCCAACTTTTGCCCTCCTCTCAGGGGCTGCTAAGCTTTATGCCTACTGGATCGTGGTGAACTTCCGTGAGGCCTACAACATGTTCGCTGTCAACGGAATCCTTTTTAACCACGAGAGCCCGAGAAGAGGTGAGTTCAAAACTCAGAAACACTCAAGTAGAAGAACGTTTGTGCCACATTCAACCCTAATTTTCTAAAGGTTGTTTAAAAAAACCCAAAAAAACAGCATTACATCTTTTGTCTCAGTTCAGACCATATACACACACACACACACACACACACACACACACACACTTATACACAATGCCAATGCCAACATGTTGATCGAGAATTTAGTGACGAAAGCTGTTCTCCGGGTGTCATATTTTTTGATGATGATGAGGCCGGCCACATTTTGCACACAGAGAAGAGGGTTCAGGTACTGGACTGGCCTGCTTGCAGACCTGACCTGTACACAATAATATGAGAGTGTGGTGAACTCAGAACCTTTTACAACCCTTTCTTTAGAATATGTGGCTGGCTTGAAATGCAAATAACTCATAAGACTGACACAAAATATCTCCCTTCAATCAAATATCATTAAACTGCAATGGTAATCTTTTTTTTCTTAAATTAGCTTTTTTTTTTTTTAAAGAATCCAAAAGAATATTAAGAGTGTAATAGATTTAAGGTGGAGCACATTAAACCTTTGAATGGAGAATAACACATGTTGAATCATATTTAATGGATTTTCTTTTCTTATTGTACACATGTATGTAAAAGGAAGCTTTACCTGGAACAGTGAACCTAAATCAGCTTAAAATGTATTTTCAAAGTCTCTGCCAGTGGTCCTGCAATAATGCAACACAAAGTTAAAACAAACTGGTGAATAACTGAACCCTGTTCTTCATTACTGTTTTTGGGGGAACCGAGGTGTAAAAACCTTGACATCACTTAGCCTCAGCAACAAGTTAAACCCACAATAAAGAAGCAAAGCAGATGGCGAACTATTGTTGGATTGTGTAAAAGTATTCAATTACATGGTCTATATAAAGTCATATTCATTTAACTGTGGAGCCAGGCTGCTCATAACCACTTGACACACACATTCTGACACATAGAGAGTGGGTTGTGGTCGCATTTTTAATATGTGCTCTGAGCCCTGAGGGTCGCAGGCGCTGGTTTAACCCGATTTACACGCCACCGATACTCAAAATGAATACCACATGACTGCAGCCCCAGCACTGTGCACAGGTCAGCCGCTCAGGTGTTTATGATTTATCCCCTAATGAAGGCCCTGGCCACGACCCCAGCCGGGGTCAGGGGTCATCCAGTAAACCGTAATGGGTTACCACAGATAGATAGGTGTGGGAACTGGTGTGGGTTACTGCCAGTTCAGCAAAAATGGCCTGCGCAGATCTAAGATCTTTTAACGAAGATTCAGTTGATATAATCAAACTGCGAAGTGTTTGTTGAGTGGAGAAGGGATGATGGGTAAAAAAACATTTATATGTCAGAAATACTCAAAATGCAAATGCAGTTTTTTTTTTATCTCAGACTTCTGAATAGAAGATTGTTTGGTTGTAGATGGAGTAATTTTTGAAGTAATTGAAGACTAACACTAATTCATTTTGAAAACTGCTGTTTTATTGATTCACAAACAGGTCAAAGGTTTGGGAATCAGGGATGCCTGTGCCGTTTTTTACAAAATTACCTAATAAGGACAAGGCTCTCTGCCTTTCTGATGACATGATGTCAGCCTTTTGGTCCCTGGTCTGTTCTCTCTTCTCGTCTGTTTCTGTCTTGCAGTAGTACCCACACACACATGCACTCTCATTTCCCTTCTCCTCTTCTTTGCCGTTTCATTTCATGTAATTTCCTTCTTTAGAGGGGACTTTCTCTCTGGCTTGCAGACCTCTGACTAACGCCACTTCGCTCTGAGAATGATAGCTGTTGTTGGTCATAAAGCAGGAACACTGAGCTGTGATGGGGCCAAATGTCCTACGGCTACCTTGGTGAACTCAGTGTGGTGCTTATATTGTCTGGATTAGTCAGTGTTTACCCATCCTTTTTAGGGGAAAAGTTGTTGCAATAGCTGCAAAAAAAGAAATGGCATGATTTCTCTCTTTCTTAAGTTGTAAGGTTAGATACAGTGGGACCCTGTTAAGACATAGTTTTGTTAAATTGCTTATATCAAAGAAAAAAATAAAAATAAAGAAAACATACTTTCACAATGTATCATACTTTATTTCACAGCTCAAAGAATGGACATTTCAAATGTTAAAACTCAGACAAAGAATTTGCTCAGTACCAATATGATCAATTCTGTAATACTTAGACAGCAAAAATCACAATTACCATTTGATAGGTCTATTATGATTCTGTCCAATTCAAGCCAATTATATTCCAATGAACTGTAATACAGTAGAATAGTGGGTGACGCTTTATAGTACAGTCTCTGATAGATTCAGATGTTCAACAATTTAAACAAACAATCTATATTAATCCGTATATTTTGAGTCATTTGATGACACAGTTCAAACTAATTACATATTACAGTAACATTAGCATTTGTCATCACTCTCCATTTGACCAACAAACAGTCAATTTAAATTTTTCTGCCCCACAAAGTCTGATTTGTTTGATCGGAAAGAAAAAATCACTAAGTGTAAATCCAGTGTGAGACAAAGCAAACAGAGGCCTAAAACTGCCCGCTGGTTCTCACCACAGCTTGTTCCCTTCTGGTTAGCTTAGCTGTTAGCCACAACAAACATTTCTCACAGAGAATCTGATGAGAAGGATTGGTGTGAGCAGCACTGCTAAATAGACTCCACATTGCTGTGACACATGAGACGGTGCAGGCCTCCAGTCTCTTAGAAAGACTGATCAGCAGTAAAACCAGTACAAATAACCAGTTTCTCGTGTTTATTTGCTAATATTATTCAACACACATGCAGCACCTGAAAGTCCCTTGAAATCCCGCTGTGGAACCGTCGGGCTAAAGCCGGCTGTAATTCATCGTTATTATCTGCTTGTTAGTCCAAAGCTACAGTAAATCAACACGGTGATGTGTTTTCTGTGTGTGTACACAGTTGATGCCACTGACCAGCTCCAGTTGTAGGCTTATCCTCTGGTTTATTTGGGGAAGTCCCATCCATCTCTCCTCCCTGAGAGCTCTGTGGTTCACGCTCGGCAGTACAGAATAATATACTGTTATGTCAAGAGAGAAGAGCAGTTAGCACTGGGGAAGTCAGAACGGCACTGCCAAAGTCAATGCTGCCCCTTAAAACACACACATACAACTGCTCAGCCTCTACATGCCTTGGCTTCATCTTTCTGCTTTTGTTGAGATAAAGCCCAAGAGGTCAGATTGCATGATAGATTTGAAAGGGGATATGTTTTCCATTTATTGGAAAGGTTATTTTCAAAGGAACCGTCAGATGGGGATGACTCGGTCAGTGGACGTCAAGGGGATTTGTCAGTATCCTGTAAGGTGGAACCCAAAGCGAAGAAGGTACTGTTAGTTTTACGCTGTTTGGTTTGGTGTTGATGGGAATGGGCTGAATGAGTGGAGCCTAAACATCAGCTGTGTCTAAGTGAATAGAGTAGAGATGTCCTTTATTGATCCCACAGTGAGGAAAAGCACTTTTTAGATTCCAAACAAATAAGCAGATCTGAAATACTTGTAGAATAATGAATGTAGATAAGAGGTCTAACAATTTGAAATGTCCATAAATAAGTTCTGTCTTGGCAATTATGACCTGAAAGGCACAAGTTATTGATTTACTGCTCATGATAATTGACAGGTGTGATGGCAGAGGGCACAACGGCCCTCTGGAAGCGCTCGGTTTTACACTGCCGGTACTAAAGGAGCTGCTACCAGCTCCCAGAGTGTCATGGTGGGGTTGAGAGATGTTGTCCGACATGGATGTCAGTTTCACCAGTGTCCTCTTCTCAGCCACCTCCTCGGTGAGACCCAGAGACTGGTCCAGGACGTATATGGCTCTCCTAACCAGCTGTCCTGCTCGGTGATGCCACCAGAGGGTCGTACAGTTTTTTTTTTAACACCGTCCTGCACACGCTGAAGCCTCAAAGTGAAGTGGTGACAGAGTTCTCTGTGTGTCGTAGAGACGTCTCGCCCGGCCTCAGAAACCTCACGTGCTCGTTTACGTTCCTTACCCTTTCTCATCCCCTTCCACCCTCAGATCAGTGTTTGTTGTCTGAGGTCACCACGGTAACCATGTATCATGATGACTGATCGCTTGGGTTGAGAGCTGTAATTGTGCCACAATTTGAGGACAAAGCGTCAGGCTTCGTCGGAGCTCTGCAGGAGGACAGCCAGACTGCTGTGAACACGCTTCAGTTCAACTTCTGACATGGAAGTGGTGCCAGTGGCTGAAGAAGAACAAGCTCTCCTCCAGTCCTCCTTGCATCACGTTTCCTTCTCTCTGCACCCTCCCTGTCAGTTGAGTCAGTGAGAATGAGGACAGCACGCTGTTAGGTGTGAATAGACGCTATGTTGGCAGAGCTGAACACATGACCTGTCTTGGACGTAACACAAATATTCTTCTCTCGTTGAGGCTCTAGAGATCAGTCAGAATGTGAATTGTGCAATAACGGTGATGGCAGACACTGACAGGTCTTTGGTTGGGGTGGAATTTCGCCATCCTCCGAACGGGTGAAGATCCCTCCTGCACAATCACTCAGTCAAGTATTTGGTTCATAAATCAGTGCAGATAAAGAAGATGTGTTAAAGAACAGCATACATTCACAAACAGGGCTCTGGGGTAAGGCCTAAATCCTCCAGTGTAGTGGAGATGGAAATTAAGGGATGCATTTTTCACCTTAATTCTAGCACAAAGCCACTCAATCCCCAGGGCCATTTCTCAAAGACTGAGTAGGATTATGGGATTTGCAGTTTTGGGTGAATTCCAAAGCAGGTACGTAAACCTTGTGTTTGAGGCAACCAACACAGGTTTCTATGACAACACCGTGGTGATTAAAAATGAGGTTTTTCCTATTTTTAATATTCTGTCTTCAACATCTTGGCTGGTTCAGTATGCCAAATGACAGAAAATAGTATATTATCTGGAAAATACTTGGAATGAATGTTTGTGTTCAACTTTTTCAAGGAAAGTAAACAATTTGTGGTCCTAATTTAAGAATGCAGATCATTAAACCAGTCTGGGTTATTAAGTCATTCCACCTTTTAAAAAAAAAAAGGATTCTTTTTTTTCTTTCGAGAAAATGGAAAACTCTGTAATGTCCTGCAAGTCACCTTGGAAAAGATTTGCAAGGTAATGAAAAACATACATCAGGTCTAAATCTGGAAGAGGAAACTTGGCATAGGAAGGAAGTTGATGTTCGACCTGTGTGAGCTGAACATCAGATACAAGCATGATAAATATTGTTTATGATTTAGGATCCTGGTTTACTGAACTCTTCAGTTTTTCCAGCGCTAATCTACCATTCAGCCGTGCAACGACCGCATGATATGTCTTTAAAATAAATGTTACAGAGGAGAGATTTGAATAAATCACACTGTGGTTGGCTTTCGGTAAATGTACATAAATACCCTCATGGATGGGTTTCGAGTCAGACGCCGTCACACATCTCGAGTCTCCATAAGCTGCATTCCTAAGGGAGTGCAAGTTTAACAAGAGAATCGGAGTATCCAGGACCGCCTCCCCCCGAGCCCTCCGTGACTCCCCCATACCCGAGCCCCCAGCTGACAGCTCCTGTCCCCATCCTGTCTGGGCCCACATGTCCTGGCACTGGATGGGAGACGTCTCTGTACATTTCTCATCACCCTCCTCCGCCTCCTTTTCCTCCGCATACATGAGCCCAGCTGTGCCAACGAAGCCGTTGAGTTACGCTTTTCCTGTTGCTCCTCTGGCCAACGACTCAAAAGGACTGACGGAAAAAAAAGAGAAGAAGCGGTTATGTGAGAATTCAAACGGAGAAAGAGAGTGAGTGTCACTTTCTGGCATGGCTTTTGCTGTCTGCTCGGTTTTCACGGCCCGCGGTTTTATTAGACTGCCGCGGGCAAGGTTAAACGGCCACCGCTGCCCCGTTTGGGCTCAGAACCTCCTGTCAGCTCCCCTCATCCACCTCCACCCCCTCCTCCTCGCTGTCCTGGAGTGCCGCTGCCAGTAAAGGAAACGCATTAACACCAGGGCCAGTAACAGAGCAGGCTTTGTCCGGGACCAGGCAGGCCCATCCATTAGCCCCACACTCTGGGCCACGCCGCACCAATTAGAGCAGGCAGGGAGCAGAGCCACTCTAAACAGAGGTGTGAGCTTTACAAGGAGACTACAGGTGTGCTTTTGGAGGGAGGGGGATGGGGGGGCGAATAATGCACTTTATGACTGATTGGTGTACTGCACAACCCCATGTTCCTCAGGCACCTTTTTAAGAGCCAAACAGGCTTTACAGAGTTTTGACAACCTGTATTTAACCTGCAAACTCAAGTTCCCCTTGGACACTGGATCAAATCAAACCTCCGCTTTCCACTTTACTGTAGTCATCAAACCGAGCTCTTGTTACATTGCCGTGCCCCACTGGATCATAATATGTGCTATACAGAGGGCTGCCCTCAATGAGAATTGAACTATTGTGTAATACTCTGATTAGATCATTTCTAGATTTTTAAATAAAGATTGGAAACTGACCTCCATGAGTTCAGCCTGTGCAATAACTTTAATTCCTGAAATATTGTTTTACATTTATTAACAGCTAGGAAGGTTGGTAGATTGCTTCAGTTCATGCACACATGGCAAACCCAAATGAAAAGGTTAAGATACTTTGCTACAATGTTAAAAACATCAAACTTCACTAACACGTCAAATGTTTGCTGTATGACTTAACATAATCTTTTAATAAGCACTCTAATAGCTGAACATCAGTTTAAACCCTGTGCACAGTGGAGGTAACTAAAATGATTTGTTCAACTGAAATGCATTCAAAGACTTGATTATGAACATTTGAAGTGCCAAAAAAAGAACAGTGTGGAATGAACTCTTAGAATGTTGAATATAACTCATTTCTACCATTTGGTCCCACTCCAAATTAGGGTAAAACTCACTCTATGGCCATTGTCAATTTTCAGTTAAATCCATTCAATCAATGTAAAAACAACCTATGAAATGTGTCAAAAAGAAAGAAAAAATATTACTATGATTACACTTCAGCTATTTTTAACTCCAAATTAAGTTTTAAAATGACATTGTGTCATTTTACCACAGTAAATGGTATCTTTTTTATCTTATGGAAATTAATACAACAATAACAAAGGCATCTATTGCTATTTCAATTGCCCGCACAACTCTCCTCTTTTTTTAAACTTTGCTAGAGCTGGATTACACTCCATAAATCCATAAATACTCTAGGTTAAAAAAAAAGTAAATCATTTTAGTGTGTGATGCGAACAGATAACTGTTTGATTAGCTTAATTAAAGACACCTGGAGACACATCTGATACCTAATGACGTTACCAGAGCTTATCAAAAAAGTATTTTGGGGCAAGGATGGGAAAAGCCATTGTGTATTTAAATGCTTTTGGATACCATTTTTCTGCTCTTTGGTGAGTTGTTGCTGATTATCAATATCCTCGGCCGGGCTTCTGAAAACCATTTTCGTTTAATGCTATGACGTGTTTGTAATAATTTAGGAATATTTTACTTTCTGTCCATTTACATTTCGTGCAGCTTCACCTCTTATTTAGTCCCTCATTAGGGAAGTTACTCTCCTTTCTGTCTCCTTCTTTTTCTCCAACCACTGATATTTTTCCCCATCATGCCCTTCACATAATGTAACTTGACAGAATCTTTTCATTGCCTGGTGTGCGTCTGACAGCCATAGATGTGTCATAGGCGGATGAATTGTTGGTTAATATTTGACTGCAGTAGCACTGGTATCTGCCAGAACAGATGACCTGCCAGGTTACAGAATGGCCCTGAGGCTGACTGGAGGATCGTGCTAAGACAGGGTAGGTCTGACAACAGGGGGTTTCCATTGTTAATTTGGCTCCACTTGGTGCACACGTGGAATTTCGAAATATGTTTTTCAAAAATATTAGTTTAACGACGAAAGAACAATGCGTTGCTTTGAAGGATAATCCAACATTTGAAGAGTGCACACCGCCTCCGTTAAACTTTCATTAAAATTCAGCTCAACGTGGTGACAAAGAAGCGTTGACATGAGGGTCATGTGACCCGCTACCAACACACAACAGGCTGTATTTTCTTAAAGAAGCGTGTCTAACCTTCCCAGGTCTGTTTTTGCTCAGCCTGCTGAGGGCTGTCGTTTTCCTATGAAATAATTACTACAAATTCGCTGCTGTCGCATGATTGGGTACATGGGATTTTCCTATGTCTAAATGGAGGCTCTGCTCCATGTCAGGGGAACAGTGATACAGTGTGGAGCCAGGGCTCTGCCGTTAAAGTCGGGATGGATGCAGGGCTAAAAGGCAACGTTCACTTTGATTTTAAAAAGCTGCATGTTGGGGCTCTTGAGAAGTCTCAGAGAGGTTACCATAAGGTTGTGGGAGATTTTGTGTACACTAGAGATATTGCATGAGCTAAAAATATCTAACACTTTGATGGAAACTTCAAATTCCCTTTGAAATGCAGTCCTTAGATCTTCACATATCTCCTGCTTTGTTTTTTGGAACCTTAATAATCGTTTTTTATTGAGGAGGCAATGTAATTAGACATGACACCATGATATTTGGTCTTGTTTTTTTGCCGGGATAATGCTGTATTTGGGTTGGAGGGTTGGTCCATTTATTAACCGGCCCTCCACAGCATCTTTTACCCCCAAACGCTATAAGCAGAGAACACGACACTGGCTCACACTGTCCTGCCAAAACACCCCAAATCATCTCTTACCATTCCAGCCACACAGAAATAGTCATTAGAAGCTCATTTGTCCTCCCACAGATAGTATCGCCACGTGTATGGGCTGGGATAAAGAGCACCACAGGGCGATCTGGCAGATGTCAGTGTGGTGATTCTGGACTGGACGCTGCACCGGCAGAGCCATGGTGGTCCTGTTTAGTCGTCATTTTTCTATGGAACTTCCCTGTTGCCTTTTTTGATGTTGACAGACAGATGGTCTTAGATTTGTTTTGGCATCTGGCCCAGATTTGACACCAAAATGGTGAATTAGAAAGGAAAATGAGAGAGAAGGATTCTAAAAAGGGTCTTGTGGCTGTAATGTGAGGTGGTAACGAATTGATTTGACTCAGGGTTACATTTCAAGTTTCTTGCTTTGGCTAAAGAGGGCTTGGAACAGCAGTGGAGGTTTGGAAGGCTCTCTTTATTTGTGTGCGCATGTGTGTGTTGGGTTTAGTAGGGAACTCTTAACCCTCATCTCCAACAAAGAGGCCTTGATTCCACTTATCTGCTCTTTGTGCCTCGGTTTTTTCTCTGTTTGTGTGTGTTGGACGGGGTCAAAACTCTGTAACATTTATGCCCTGCGTGAACTATAATTGAATTCAGAATGCGCCAGCAAAGCATTTTTGACATTTGTGTTTCAGGTTCAAACTTTGTGACGCGTAAGATCAGCCGTTCTGTGGCAAAGATTCACCTCGGCCAGCTGGAGAGCTTCAGCCTGGGCAACCTGGACTCCAAAAGAGACTGGGGCCATGCCATGGACTATGTGGAGGTAAAAAAACACACACAGCTGCCACCACACACAAGCCCAGAGAAATCTGCACAAACTGTGCGCACACTGCTTCAAAGTTGAGCAGGGTTCAGATGTGCACATACCATTAGCAGGGCATGTTTTCCCAGATCATTTGAGGCTGTAATATGTGATCTGCATGAAGCCTCCTATGATTCTCTGCCAAAAGAGAAACAGAGATAGAGCCGGAGAAGGGCAGCGGGAGGAGAGGGAGAGGGACGCCTGCTGTTAGGCCACAAACTTCACTCTGGTTTCCCACAATTCACCCATGTCCCAGATCCCTGCAGGCCCCCATCGCCATTCCCTGAACGGCTGCAGAAGAAAGCCAGATATTAAGAGAACACTGCGTCCCGAGGACGATGACAGAAATACTGTGTTTGTGTTAAAGTAACGCTGCCAGCAGCAAGCAGGGAAAGAAGCGGGGAGATGAAACGAACAGAGGGGTCGCCTCGTCCAGGAGCAGACCGAGCTCAGTGCCCCCCACCCATGAATATTTGCAGGGAAACTTGCATTCCTGTGTGTGTGATAGGTTAAGACTGGGACACGTGTGCGTGGCTGTAGAGATGAAAGACTCCACGGGTTGCCATGTCTGACAGCAGACCCCTCGCAGCTGGCTGTGTTATCATTAGGAGGTGATGGTGGTGCAGGTAGTGGGGGGTCATCTTTGAGATGGGAGTGGGGGTGAGGAGGTTACGGTTGGAACTCCAGTTTAACGGTGTGGGGTCACTGCGTCAGAGCTGGGCTGGTTCACGCTGTTAGGGAGGGGCACTGAGGCATTATTGGCGTCAGTGAAGCATCAGTCACCGTGTGATTACTGGAAGACAGTCATGTCCGATGTGTCCACACAGAATTATTTTTGGCCCTGTGAGACGTCAGACTTGAATTGGAACTGGTAAAATTCAGTTCTTATGAATAAAACCATCAAAAATGTTTTTGCTGTTATGCCGGTGGGTTTACTTCCCACAAATTAAACCACTTTCAGAAATCAAACAATTATGTTTCATCATGAAAATCCAGCTACATAAACTACATCACAGAGAACAGCTTCTGAAACATCAGAGCTCATGCAAGAGTAGCTTTTAAATTAGTCTAATTTACAAGTTCAGACATTTTTTTTTACCTCCCTCTGCTTTCAGCAGAGAACTGTGATCCCTTTGGATTTTTTAACAATTCCCATCCATCTTCCTTGGTAAAGTTTGCTGCCCTGTCGTCTCCTTTTTGGTGCTCGGCTCTGCCGCACAAACTGACCTGAGCTTTGCCTTCTGCCCCCCGGTTCATGTCAACAACAACATTTTTCTCTGCAATAGGTCCATGGGGAAACACACATTCCCTGCTTACTCTAACGGTCCAAATTCAGTTCTGCTGTTTTACATCTAAAGTCTAGTTTTGGGAATTAGAAATATTTGAAGCTTGGCTGTAAATATTCAGAACAAGGCCTACTGAGGCAACACTGGAAACCGTTGATCGTTCGTTTTTAAGCCGGTCGGTTGATGTGAATGATACACCCAGAGTTTTGACGTGTCCAAATCCCTTCATACCATTTTTAAGATTGCTGTCTCAGGTCACCTCTGATTGTTTTCTCAGTGATTATCTTTGTGTCCTCAAACCTTCATCTGTGCATTCACACCTGTATTTAGAGCTGTCCTCTTGTGATGAGAAACCCCAGAAGGAAAGCTATAGTGTCAGAAAATGATGCCTTTAAAGCCAGGGGAAAAAAGAAATATGGCCCCAGAGTGGAGGTAAGTGAAGCAGAAGCCTGCCCAGGTTTCACCTCATGCTACTTTTTCCTGTAAGGCAAAGAGGAGCTACCTTAAAATGTCCATAATCAAATAAGGTAAAAAAGAAATCCTGATGAGCTTTTTAAAAATGTTGAAAAGTAAAGGTACATATTATGGACATCGCCTTTAAAAAAAAATGAATATCTATGTTTTATCCAGCTGGATTTTTACAGATTAATGGAAACTTTGAAAGCTTCTAAAAAATAAGTTTATTTAGCTGCTTGGGCTCAGGTGATTATGTACAACTGTGAGAGGCCTCAGTGAAATAAGGGCTTTTTTTATATTGGAGATTAATTTGAAGACCTCATTTTGACTTTGGAGAACAAAATCCACTTTTGTTCCTGGTTGCATCATAAGTGTATGTTGCTGAATTGTAATTTTGATGCTGCTACGATGAAAAAGATTGAGCTAAATTTAAAATCCTAGTTTAGAGAGAAGAAGGCAACTTCTAGAGCTTGTGGCTTTCCCCTTTGAGCAGATTTATATATAGAACAACAGTGGTTGGTTTTCTTTTGCATGTAAAATGCTGGTTGTTGAGCAAGTTTCTTCATCTTATGTTATTTCGACCGCCCGGTTGTATGCACACAATGGCCCGTTGGAATATTTGTGTGTCCACACTTGCCTGTCCAGGGCACACTGCCTTGAGATGCACCAGGTTTCCTGTGGGAACTGCTGGCATTCCAGTCCTGGTGAATCAGCCGTCTCCTGTTTCGGAAAGCCGGATTTTCGGGAAAGCCAAACAGAAGTTGGAGGTGCAGAGGGGAGCTCTGGTGGAGGAGAATAAATAGAGGAATTTAAAGTAAAGTAAGTAAGTAAAGGGATAGACCGACGGACACTTGTAGATTATGCATGAGGGAACCATCTCTTTTGCTTAAACGTTCACCCCACCCAGCAGACAATCAAAGGCTGACACTGACACCAGGACCCCCCGGACCACCTCCTTCTGTCTCACTTTGAAATATCCAGCCACCAAGCACCGGCACTGTGTTTCCATGGCAAAGCCAAACAACTGGCAATTTGTAAACAGAACCATGTGTGTCTGCTTTACGCTGACAACTGCTTTTCCTCCCTTTCTGTCTCCCTCTCGTCACCCCACCCAGGACTGGGAAATTGCTTGTAATTGGCTGTGGATGGATTGCGGGTGGCAGGAGGGGCGTGCTGTGTGTCTGCTGTAACGACGTCTGAAAGCGTGCGGCTGGCTGGGCATCGTCTCGGCCGGGTATCGGGTGTCCGTCCCCGGCAGGCAGACAGACCTGGTGCTGCCCAGTGACTCTCGGTGGAGCCCTTCATTATTATCATATTATGAAATAGATGTCAGGAGCTGAACTCTTTAGTTTAGAACGGGCAGAAAGAATAATTTAAATCCCCCTGATCTCATTTTCCGTAAAGGAGTTAAGCTTTGGTATTTTTCAGTTTGATGGCTGTGTTTGAAGCACGCGGCTCTTTGGAATTAGGCAATATGGGACAGAGCAGGCCAAGCAGAAGAGGAAACCCACAGCAATCACTCACAAAATGTTCCAACTGAACATTGAGGGATTCAACGTGAGCCCCCCCCCCCTACCTACTCCTTCCCCTCCTCTCAGCCTGTGCCCCTATCCTGACTTGGCCCATGGTTGGTACAGCTGTTTGGAACCCCTACCACCTACATCTCTCCCTCTGGCTGCAGTCAGCCATTTCCCGTGCAGAGAAGAAGGTTGGCTGAGAGAGTGGGAGCTGAAATTGGCTTGGTGGTTTTGGCTCTTTCTCTTCCCTCAGGCTCCGTCCCGCTTCACTTTCTGGCTGTCATTGTCTCAGTTTCTTCTCCCATTTTGTGATTTCTATCCTCCATATCCCTTCTGCCTCTTAACCTTTAACTATTTGGGGTTTTGTACTCTTGTAGAGCTACGTCACAACACCAGTGCTCCATAAAATGTTGCCTTTTCCTGTTTGATGCGCGTTTGATGATCAGTCACTGAGCAGTTGCCAAAAGTTTCCCCTCTGACATCTCATTTTTCCCCTGACTGGGGCTGGCACTCATGGTCTCCCTGCCATTGGACTAGTTGTTGCCAGATGAGAAGTGGTTGGCCTGCCGATACAGTGTCCTGACTCTAACTCGACATATTTAGTTTTCAGTGAGTTCACCTGTTAGTGTAATTTGCGTTGGTCATCCAACGTTGGTGTGTGTGATTCCTGCCAGTGTCTGTAGACAGTGAGGTGATAGCACAGCTGCTCAGGTGATAGTTTTCACCCCCTTTATTTATCCTGTATTTTTCTTTTATTTTCTTTAGCAGCAGCTGCCTCTCCGTGCAGTAATGGTTACAGATGAGGCTACTTAACCAATCACAGCGCAGATCATGGCCAATCACAGATGATTGAAGAGAGTGGTGGTCCATTCATCATGATTTGGTTTTGGAATTAAAAGCAGGTGTATAATACAGTAACAAAGACATGAGATGTTTCAGTGTTATTCAGTTTGATAGCTTCAGTGTTTCTTTAACATTTCTTTCTACCTTAAACTTAGCAAGAAATATGATCAAATTGTTTCTCTTTTTGTCTCTTGTCTTATCTCTGAGCTAAATTTGGTGCACAAATAAGAAAATAACACTTTTCGTTGTTTATTATATTTTTCATTTCATACTTTTAAAATCAAACTAGAAACATTTTGTAGACTCAACAATGCATCCTGGAGGAGAGTTTTTGGATATAAGGGAAAAAGCAAAAATGAAATATTTTATGTTCGTAACATTTAAGCAATTCACTGGACTACGCATCACCCTAAAATTAAATTGTTTTGTTCCTCTGTTTTGACTTTTCCACCTGCTACAGGGGAACAAATGCCTCTATGCTGAACCCTCACACACAGTTGATTTTTAAAATTTTAAACAAAACTGATGTATCAGTTCTAGTTCTTAGGGATAAAATCAGATAAAGACAGAAATCTTTTATCAGTCCATATCAGATCTAATCTGTTTTTTCTTTTTTTCATTATTTCCTAGGAAGGTGATGTACATAAAAAGCCAAGGAATAACTCGACCAATAAAAATGTTGAAGTCAGGAATTTTAGAACATTTTAACTAAATGGATTCGGACAATTAAACTTAGTCATTCAGTTGGTTGGATTTTGGTCCAATATTCAGCCACAGCAACAAAACACAAAGAAGAAAAATGAACAACATAAAATAGATGTATTGTAGAGATATAGTTCAACTTCACCATTCCAGCTTGTTGCTTTTACTAGTTGGTTAGCCTCTTAATGTATGGATCGAGTCGGAGAGGACAACTTTTAAAACCTAAAAGCAGAACTAGCTTCTTATATTGCTTCCTGTCTGCATCTTTACAGCTCATACAGCGATCCGATAAATACCTCTGGCTGCTCCACAAGGTCTGACTGCACACAACTGAAGCTAGAATGGGAGCTAATGGGGCAGACGAGGAGTAGTGTTCGGTTTCCTCACACCTTCCCCACCCATGAACCCCCCCTTCCACATCTAGATGAGTGTCGGTCATTTAGTGAGAAACACACGGTGACACGGGCTACTGTCAGGCTGACAAGGCATCCCACACAGGCAGGATGAGTAAATGGCTGCAGCTGTTTGTGTGAGCAGCTTTTGGGATGTTAATTGCAGGTGAAATTTGACCCATCGGCGAGCAGCAGCTCAGTAAACGGGAGCATGGCACCTTCTGGCTCAGACCCATAAAAAACCTCTGCAGTCCCTTAGCCACCTCTGCACGTATGAGCACTTGCACATACACACACTTGGGTGGTATATGGTATCAGGTAAATGTACGTTTACACAAAAGAATGACTGAATGAAACCAAAAGCATGATTAGTTTGAATGGACTCTGGTGTGGATGTTTAAAATGATCCTTTAAAGAGCTCTTAGCTCTCTTTGATACCGTCAACTGACATACTTATACAATATGGATGTCCCTTTTTTTAAATTTCTCAGATATTCGGATTTGTGAAATCTAGAAACATTGACCTTTAAATAATTGTATTTGATTAGCTGCAACCAGAACATGTATAGATGCCTATTTAACTTAGAATCTGTCATCATTTGTATAATTTCTAATGAATTCCTGGAATATTTTCTACCAAATATCACAAAGGCCTTGCGCACACTGGTATTTCTTCCAAGATGGACGTAGAGAAACACTCAGGGAGGCAGGGTATGATGTGAGATATGATGATTAGGAGTAATGAATTGAGTGAGAGGCTTAAAATAGATCTCCAGGGAGGCTCTCTTGCCCCATCTGAGTCCATATCCTAAATCACTGAAAAAGGGGCGAGTATTTTCTGTGGCATCGCACCAGAGGGACATAAACAGAGAGGCAGTGGGAGTCATAGAGAAGCGAGATGTTGAACATTTTCACAATACAGATGATTTAGCTGGGAGAAAAATGGAGGACGATTGTGTAAAACTGACTCCCTCCGGCTGCTCCAACAATAGCAGAGCAGATAACAGACAGATCCGTGGCAGCACTGGTTCTTCGGTGAGGAGGCCGGGTCAGGGTAACGCTGAGTGTGCTGGGGCTGTGTGTGCGTTACATGGATGTCTGTGAGCGGTGCTGCTCATTGCTGGCTTCAATTTTTGTGGAGCGGGTTTTATGTTGTTGGTTTTTCTTTGTAATTATTTGTCAGCGCAGTTCTTTAAGTGGCTGAAAAAGCTGGCAGGGATCATTCTATTTCTAATTATTTGTTGTTTAGTTAAGATTAAAATTTTTATGAAAAAGTGGAGATAAAGTGAAGATCACTGGTCATATGTGTAAACGTACTGAGAAAGAACCTGTATTCTTGAGCTCCTGAGATTTGCAAAAGTTTTATTTAGTTCTTAGATACAATTTGCTCACATATGACAATAATTAAATCTATTTTTAGGGCTTAATATGATGAGCTAGTCTTATGGGTTCGCAACCACTTATTTTCCATACTGACCCATGTAAGAAGTTATAAACTTTAACTTGACGGTCATTTACTTCAATGTAGTTATCTAACATTATAAGGATGTTGAGATGTTTATCATTGTAGAAAGTTACGCCTGACCGACTTTGCTGTAATTGGACTGTTTCAAACCTTAAAACAGCTTTGGTTGATTCTGAGTTTTAGAACAGGCCACTCACCGTACAGCTGGATCTATTCGATGGCCGATGGCTCTGGCATTAAGATTGTGTCTCCATAGATAATTTTAAAAGGAGGAAAAATGTTCATGTTTGCACATGAGTCTTTTGGACACACCACAAGCTGCGTATTTGAGCATTCCCTCTTTTTTTTAAACTTAAATCTAAGAAGTCTCTTTGTTAAGTTTAAAATAAGGAAAATATCATTCCATTTAGCTTTAATGGAATTTATTTCTAAGTGTGTGTGTGTAGCAGCAGCTGGCTGTCTCTCTCCGGCCTGCAGGCCTAAGCTCTTCCCTGCTGGGTTGAGGATGAAAGCAGATGCTCTGCTTCTTCTTCTCGTGCTCTGTTTTCCTCTTATTTCTCTTCACCGCCCTGTGTAACCAGAATCCTCAGCTTTCATATGGAGCCGGCTGGATAGTTTGCACCCTGGAGTCACGCAGAAAGCGGAGACACACATGAACACTGAATGACATTTTCAGTTCCCCGCTTTAAGAAAAATAGTACCGTTCTTTATTTTGAACAAAGCCATATTTCATTAGAACTTGTATTATTCCTGTGAGCTCAGCTGTTTGTCTCTGGCTCCAGGGCTGGGTTTCAACAGGTTTGCCTGGCGACAGGTTTGTGGCTGCAGTGACATCCCTCACACATGGCGGGGAGAAATACAGTATACCTCCCAACTGAAAAGTTGGAACAGGACAGAACAGGAAATAACGGATAGGCTGGCGGCTTTGGAGGGGGTAGCTGGTGGGATGTTCGGATACCCTGCTGGGGCTTCAAAGGCCCAAGACAGTAGGGCAGGAGTCAGATGGCACTTATGAGAAAAATAGTGAGTGAGAGGAAGAAGAAAGGCTTAACTCCTGATAGACTCTCCCAAACTCAATGTTTAAATCAGTAAATCAAATGTCTGTAGTTTTAATTCATTTATCAGTGTTATTGATCAATCATTTATCTCCTTACAAATAAAAAAACCACTGTATTTTGAGTGAGTGGAAAAACAACACATCATTTTTTACTCCACTGATTCCCTGCTTTGAGTAGCTGATGTTACAGAGCTGTTCGTAAAAGTAGATTTTGTGCCAAAGTATGTTTCAGTTTCTTTCACTATGTTTAACATTTTATCGTTTATTTTGTTTGATGAAATACCTGAACTGGCTTTTGATTTTGATATTTTCCATATTTAATTTCCAGACCAGGAAAGTCTTTTAAAATGTTATTCATAGCGTGGATCTTCTCATGATCACGATTCTTTGAATCTTCGCCAGATGTAAAAGTTAAAAAAAATCTTCCAGGTCTGCTTGCCTGTCCATGTAAGCTCAGACTGATTCCAGATCTTTCCTTTGTGCTGGTATTAAATCTAGAATGAAAAAGTTAGAGCGGCCTGTAAAACTGGGACCCTCCTGGTTTGTGAAACGGTCATTCCAGGCACTTTCAGCCCAGCTGAGGCCTGCGTGTGTGCTCAAAACCCATCATACATAAACGCTGAGTGTCATCTAGTGACATTTTAGGGAGTATCAGTGAGATTCGGGGAGTGAAGTGAAGCCCTTACTGGTCCAGCAGACAGAGTTAATGGAGCTGAGCAATGTTTAGAGGCCGGGGGGGCATGGGGTCATCTTGTTTTAATTGTCTGAAGAGTCTGGCTGACTCTTTGGGACAGGAATGTATGCGACCTCCTCTTTCGCTTGTTCACACTCCCTCGCTCTCTGTGTGTCTTTTGGTGTCAGACGGTCGAGCAGCTCGTGGGAAGATTCCCCGTCCAGATTGCCGAAATTGAGCCAAATATCACAAGGCTCGCTCACACTATCAGCTCTTTTCTTTCTCTCACAGCCCCCTCTCTCTCTGTTCTTTGGGTTTTTCTCTCTCAATTACATTTTTGTCTGACTTACTGACCCATTTGATTTTTGTGCACAAGCACTCTGTGTGGATGTCCTTTACATAAAAAACAAAACAAAAAATGTCTGTCTTCCCTTTGTGTTTTGAAACATCCCAGATGTCTTAGCCGGTACCCCTTTAGCCCTTTAGCAGCACGTGTTAACATGCAGGATTCGTGTTGCACGTTGTGTCCGTATTTACTGCTGTTACACTTGAATATCCCTTTTAAGGGACAATAAATGTTCCTTCTCCTTTTGATGGATAAGACTGTCAGTGGATTTTCTGAAACATCGCTTAGCAGTGCTGAAGCTAAGGGTAAATCAAGAGCCCTATTATCTTCTGACT